GATGACAAAAACTGCAACCACCTACAAAGCCTATATAGCCCCATTGAAATTCCTCCTTAAATGTTTGCTGTGTTATATATATTTTTTACTAAATGTTAAAACTAAAAACCATAAATAATCAAAAATTCATTCATATAGAAAAAAATATCATCTCTTTTCCATCTTTAAATACATTTTTCTCATTCTAATTTGAAGTTGGATAAATTACTAAAAATAAATTTTATAAAATAATAAATATAAATATTGATTTTAATTATAATTATTTATTTTGAATTTTTAAAGAACGAAAAATAAAATAGCGAAATTAATTACATCTATCTTCAAAGGATTATTTAAAACAGATTTTGGAATATCTGGTACAACTAATGCCTTTATTCTTTTGTGTGATTTTTTTTTGTGTAAAAGATTCAAATGAGTTTAATTTAAAAAACTAAACCAGTCCTAACAGTTGATTTATATACGAGATAGGTGTGTAAAAAATTTATTTATTAAACACAATTATTCCTCCATAAGTTTCATGAACAGAACACTTTTCACAAAAGTTATAACCATTATAAGATTTTATATAGTTTTAATTTATATTTTTTATTGTATAGAAAACCATTTTGCATTATTGACTTGACTCAAAGAAAAAGATAGGTATTTAGTGAATTAGGCTTGGTTTCACTACAATAAATGCCAACTATAAAAATATTAAAATAATCAAAGCAAGCTAATATTGGCCATAGCTGTTTACTAGAGAATTTAAATAAAGGTAAACCATTATAAAATTCAAAAAAAATATGATTTTAACACTTGCCTGTATTTTAAAATAAGAGTAATTATTACCACACTTTTTAGGAACAGTGAATAACTGTTAATCTCGAAGATGCAGTGAAAGTTTTAAAAACACCTCTAGGTATAACTTAGTTATACCTCTAGGTGTATTCAAAAATTTTTCTTGCATCTTCGCGAATTTTCAAACCTTGGATTTTTAATATTTCAAGAAATTCATTAACTAATATACTGGCCCAATTATTTTTAATAGCACAATCTAAAAGTTGTCAATTAAAGATATTGAATTCTAGTAAATTATCAGGATAAACTCTCTGTATCATTAATAGGTTTTCCTTTTGAAAAAATGATTCTGCATGAAATTCTGCGATGTCTAAAACTTTCAAATAATCAGAGCATGGTTCTTGATATTGTATATCAAGTATAATACTTGATATACTATATCAAGAACCAGTTATATACTTAATATATATAGTATATATTATACTCAGTTTTAAACTATTTCTTTCAATATTAATTTCTGTATAAATATTAACACGATTCTTAAGTAATTAATTATATATATATATATATATATATATATATATATATATATATATATATATATATATTATATATATTTGCAGCAGCAGTATATGTATATATAAATATATTATATATATATATATATATGTATATATATATGTATATGTATATATGTATATATATATATATATATATATATATATATATATTATATATATTTGCAGCAGCAGTATATGTATATATAAATATATTATATATATTTTGCAGCAGCAGTATAGTAACCTGACCACCAATTTCATCTGGAAAAAGTTGTTCTGTTCTACAAACTTTGTATGTATGTATATATATATATATATATATATATATATATATATATATATATATATATATATATATATATATATATATATATATATATATATATATATATATATATATGTATATAATGATGCTGCATTATATATATATATATATAATGATGCATGTATATATATATATATATATATATATATATATATATGTATATATATATATATATATATATATATATATATATATATTATATAAACTAAATTATATTAACTAAATTAATTTTGATTTAATAAAGCATTCTGGATCTTTTTTGGATGAAAAATTTATTGGACGTGAAAAAGATGTTCAAAAGACGTTTAGAATTTAAATGTGATGGACGGATGCTAATTGAACGTCCAAAGGATGTCTTTTTTATGTCCCGTGCCCACTGGGAAGAGTTATTTAAATAATTGTGCTCAATATGTACACATTGACAATAAATCACCAAAAACGTTACTAAATATTACTTGTGGCGTGCCACAAGGTTCTATACTTGGACCACTTCTTTTTCTTATATATGTTAATGATCTTCATAAAGCATCCAGCCTGAGGACAATAATGTTTGCCAATGACACAAATTTATTTTTATCGCACAGCAACATTACTATATTATTTGAAATTATGAACTTAGAACTTAAAAAGGTTTCCAACTGGTTCAAATTAAATAAACTTTCAGTAAATATTGACAAAACTAACTGGACTCTATTTCACCCACTTTCCAAAAAAAAACTAATACCATACAAAATGCCATCTATATTCATTGATAATATTCAAGTTAAAAGAGTAAAAACTACTCAGTTTTTAGGAATATATATTGATGAAAATCTTACATGGAGACAACACATCGAAAATTTAAGCAACAAAATTTCAAAAAGTATTGGAATATTGGAATATTATACAAATCAAAAAGCTAGTTAAACATGCGCACTTTAATGCAACTATATTATTCACTTATTCACTGCCATGTTAACTATACAAATATTGCGTGGGGCAGTACTAACAAAAGTAAACTAGAGCCTCTTCATTGTCATCAAAAACATATAGCACATTTAGTTAATTCTTGTGATAGGCGAACTCATTCAAAGCATCTCTTAAGAAAAATGAATGTTTTAAACATATATCAACTTAACGTATAAAATATTCTTTGTTTTATGTTCAAATGTAAAACGAAATTATCCTCGTCTCCTTTTTATAGTTTATTTATAACAAAACAAAAAAATAAATATAATCTACGAAATGATGATTTTTTGATGTAACCAGTTTCGAAAACTAATCATTGTAAATTTTGCGTATCATTTCGGGGACCGTATCTTTGGAACAAAATTGTCTTAAATAACTTTGATTTTTCTTTTGAATGGAATTACATATCTTTTAAAAAAAAGATATGTAAATTGACAATATACAAATGTAATTTTAAACCTTTTGAAATTCTTTTTATCTATTATTTATATCGGTTTATTTGATTTGTAATGTATGATTTTTCTTGATATGATTTGTAGCTTAATTATTTACGATCGTCAAGCCTATATTGCTATTATACTATCTGTTCAATTATCTTTAAGAAATTTTTTGTGAACTTTTTATTTTTTTGTAGTTTTTTTAATTTAAATCTTGTTATTCTTTTATTATTGCATAACACTTTTTTATTTACTACGTAAAATATTTAACTTGTAAAAGTGTAACAACGTCTTTTTACCGCAGTACTTCATGACAAGACCTTACGGTCTTCTACGAGTTTCCGCGTTCTTTTTATATAAATATTAAATATCTTCACTTGTAATTGTTTATATTTTTTTATTTTAGCTTGTAAATTTTATAAAATATTAACGTCATGTTTTAAAATGAAATAAAAAAAAAAAAAAAAAAAAAAAAAAAAAAAAAAATATGCTCATAGAAATGCAGCTCTGGTGGAGGTATACCATCCAATACCAGGTTGTTTGGGCTCTCATCAAAAAGACATGAGTTGATGACATTAAAAAAGTTCTGCATCAACTTTTGGGGTTTTCCTGCATCAACAAATTGTTGATACTGATGGTGTAAACTACCAAAGGTTCTATATTGGTTGGATATTGACATATTTCAGGCACCACTTGTATTCTGCCAAGTATTGAAATAGTAACTCTGCCTCTTTGCCAAGAGATTTCTGCACTTTTAACATTTTTTCCTTTCTGTAAAAAAATTTTATATATCTTGCATTTGAGAAACTAAAACTATTTTTACAAAAAGTGACAAATTTAAAATGAAAAAAATAAGATATATACATCTTTCTTATATACTGCAGTCTTGCACTTCAGACACATTCCAGTAGAAAATGAGTTCACTTTAACATCAAAACCTTTATCTCTATGTTTCCTTACTAGAATTTTTAAAGCAAATTGAGTTGGATTTTGTAGGAGTATAAATTTTTTGTTCTTGTTGCAACATCCAAAACCGATTATACCTTTGCTCTCCTGATGATTTCATTTCTGATTCATTTACTTTTTTTCTAATTTAATTTTTTCCTGCTAAAATCATAAAATACTTTACACAAAGGTTTTAAATTTTAAATATATAAATTTATATATATGTAAATATATATAAGGTATTTAATTCTAAAAAAAAAATGTATTCTTGTTATATTTTGAAATTTTTTAGACTATCTATAGTGCCATAGACAACAAAGTTTCTATTTCTATTTCGGTACATAATTAGTTACCAATAAAAAAAAACAAAAAAAAACAAACATGTAATTTCAATTTAGGAGCAAGTACAATTTTAATTTTTGGTTAATGTTATTTGAGTATGTTTTTCTGATATTTCTGCCAAAAAAAATCCCAGGTACCTTCACCTTCAAAATAAACCTTCTATCTGGGAGCAGTGTACTACAGCTCATCGTTTTCTCAAACAGCTTCACATTAAATGTACTTTAACTGTGCTTTCATAAAAATGATGAGGTCATTTAGATATAATAACAAAGAAAAGAATGAGAAACTGTTACTTATTTTATTTTAAAAATAATTATACAAATTTCTTTTTTGAAATTATTATCATTAAAAATGTCATCATCATTAATATAAATGGATTTAAGAAAAAATCTTATAAAAGTTTTTTGAGAGGTTGAAAGCACCAAAAAATGTATTTTTATTTTTTTTATAATTTTTTTGTGTGTGTTTATTATATGCATAGTGAATAAAATGTGTTGTTGAAATAAAAAAGCTTTATTTATAAAACTTGTATTTGTTTGTGTATATTGCATGTATATATATATATATATATATATTTTTTTTTTAAATGTAAAACAGTTGCTCTTTTTTGTGTGTTAAATTTTGCCTTCAGATTCATTCAATTAATTTTACATTTTGGATGTTTAGTGTTTAAATGCTGGTCAGTTATACACTTGGAATGATGCCCTCTTACCAGAAGTCAATTTAAAAAATCGATATGCCAACATTTTAGCTTGTATGTTTGTATACATTTCTTGTCTTTACATTATCAATAAGAGTAAATCATTTTTTATGCATAATTTGTGCATTATTGTTTTATATATTGTATATATATAATCTTTGAATGTCATTTTCTTGTTATACGTTAAAATATGGTTAGAATTCAATAAATACGGCTGCGTATAAACATTTTTTTAAATATATATATATTTTTTCTTTAATATATAATTATTTTGATATTTCGCTGATCTATTGTGATCAGCGTCATCAGGTATAATAAATAAAATAGTTACAAAAATCGTTATAGTAAAAACAAACCATTAAAAAGATAACATTAAAAAGCCAAAATATAATACAGAAAAAAACTTTTTAAATAACTGACGTCAGCAGATTTTATTAAAAAATGGCCCCCAGGTTTTGGTTGTTACGTTATCACCGTCATCCTGATTGAGAACCACGTCACTATTTCTCAACTCCTGTTGAACCCTATTCTTGCTTATTTTGAGTGACTCTCTGATTTTCTGAGTTCGATATTTGGGGCTACTGATAATGTTTTGGGGTGCAACCAATCAAACTTACCATGACATATTTTAGAATGCTCAGTTTTTTAGTGTTCCATACATCTCGATATCTCCTTTTTAGTTTTGCCAATGTATATCGAACCGCATAAACATTTTAGCTGGTATATGCCAGGGTCTGTTTTTAGTGGTAGTTTAGTTTTATTGTTGCAGAAAATATTTTTTAAATTAAGAGTTGATGTGAAAATAACCTTCATGTTTTGTTTTCAAAATTCTTTACAAAGTTTTGGACCAACAATTGGTATCCAAGGTAGTTTTATAAAGGGTTGGGTATTTATTGGTTGAAATGTGGTGTTTTTCGAACCATTTTTAAAATAGTCTATAGTAATATTATTTAGAATGTTCTTGTTGTGGCCATTTTCAACAAAGATGTCTATTAGAAAATCAATTTCTTTTTGAAGGTGTTTTTGAGAGCATATTCTTTTAGCACAACATAAAAATCCTTTTTTTTGTTTTGTATTTGTGTCTAGTTTACCTTCTTTCCTTAATTTGCACAATTATCTTTGAAATTTAGTAGTCAATGTGGATGTTGGATCATAATCAATAATTTTGCTATTTTTCATTTGTTCTTCTAATTTGAGAGATGCATCTTTTTGGTTTAATAATGCGAAACCTGTGCCTTTATCGAAAGGGTATATCTTAATGTTAGAATTGTTTTTTAATTTGTTTATGGAAAGACGTTGTTGCTTAGTTAAATTATATTTTAATCTTAATTTTAGCAAATTTGTTAAAATTTGTGAACATTTTTGTCGTAGAGTTTCTGCCTGTGTTGGTTTTTTGTAAAGTGCACGTTTCGATATTAGTTATAATATCCATATAAGGAATTTTTTTCGGCAGTGGTACAAAATTTGGACCTAAATTGAGTAGCTCAGTTGTTGACTTATCCAGAGTAACATTAGTTAAATTGAGTATAGCAGATTTAACAACTTGATTAAGAGGATTATAAGTATTTTTTATAATCGGTGTAATTTATAATTTATATTTTTCTTTCATTTCCATTTTTTTCTTAATGTAATGGTAATTTTTTTATTTGTTGGTTATACTGTTAATTAATTCATAATTGTGTAATCTTACTTTTGTCTGAAGAAATATATTTAATTCATTAATTAATTTCTTACTTGAATATAAACTGTGTTTGGCATCGTTACGAGCATGATTTAGTAGTTTTTTACTGTATTCCTTCATTATGTTTTTTGCTTTTTAGTATGAATTGGAGTTTTTATTTTAAACAATTTTAGAGTTATGTTATTGGATAAGCACTTTTGAAGAAAAACGAGTTGATTTTTTGAGTTTGCATTTCGTATCTTCAAATCTTGTAACTTTTTGGTATCATCGTAAATCTTTTTGTCGTAAAAAGTAGTAATATAATCTTATATATATATACATATATATATATACATATATATATATATATATATATATATATATATATATATATATATATATATATATATATATATATATATATATATATATATATAAATAAATAAATAAAAGGTTAGATGAGAAAAAACAACTTTTTTACGGTACTTAAAGTTTCATGTCGTTTTCGGCACTCATCAGCCATATATTTAAATCAAGAAAAAACCGTTCAAAAATACAATTAAAAAACTGTTACAAAATTAAAAAAAAACAATGGAATGAGTTCTGACGTCAAATAATTATAATACAAATAATAGCAATAATAATAATGATTATAATAATAATAATATAATAATAACAATAATAATAATAATAATAATAATAATAATAGCAATAATATTAATAACAATAATAATAACAATAATAATAATATTATGGAAAAAACATATTTTCTAATCGCCAGTGTCAAATTGAAAAAGGAGGAATCTGTTTCTATGTCTGCACTTCGAAACAATCTCACTCCTTTTATTTAGTAGATTGGTATTTTTATAATTTAGGATTTCATATTTTTCGGTGAGACATAATTTACAAGATTTGGATGTAGGATTATATGCTTTACATCGCCTGAGAATTTTCCACTTAACTATAGGAACTAAATTGGCTTCTTTTATTTTACATACCTGCTTTGACAGCTCAGTATCATTTTTGTATTTTAGGATGTTAAAAGATTTAACGTGGTTAGCGTATCTCAATTTAAAATAAGTCTCACTTACACCGATGTAGGATTTGTCATTAGGAGATGAATCACTAGTGGTGGTTACAGTTGCTTGGTATACAATGTTGCTTGTTAAACATCTATTGGACAACGGGCAGAAATTTTTATCTAAGCAGTTACAGTTTTCTTGATAAGATTTTGCATCGTTGTATAAAATGTACTTGTTGTGTGAATTTATGATCGATTTCACACTTGGCATACAACTGTAGCTAACTTTGACTGTGTTCCTGTTAAAGATTTTATGTAGTTTGTTATTATTAGAAAATGTTTGCCAATTAATTTCAAAAAACATTTTCCTACGTTGGTGCTAACATTTTTGCTAAATGGAGGATTAAACCAAATGATGTTGCGTGCTCTGTTCCGTTTTTTAGTTGATATTGCTTTAGGACTATATGTTAGATTACATTTAAAACCAGACTTTAATAAAGCCTCATTATATAGAGGAACAGCCTGTTGAAATATTTCTTTGGTAGAAGAATTTGTAGATAATCTAAGTTCAACCGAGTGTGGTATTTGTTTTAGTATACTTGGAGGGTGATTTGAATCAGCATGGATATAATTTAATGTATTATCAGGTTTGAGATAAGGTTTAAAGGTGCACTCACTAAGATTTAGAGTGACGTCGAGGTAGTTGACAATTTTCATGTTGCATTGTATAGAAATCCGTAAGCCATTGTATTTAAATATTTCGGAAAGATGCTTTTTTATTTTTTTTCTATTTGAGGGCCGCTTTTATTCCTAAAAACTGCTAATCCATCATCACGGTATAAACCAACCTCAAACTTGTTATAAAATTTTGAAATTTCGAAAAGAAGAAATACTCCTACAAACTCACAAACCTCCGCGCCGTCAAAAGCTCCCATGGAAACATCAAATAAACCACTTGATTGCTTTATCTAAACCTGATTATTATTGAAAAGCAAAGACTTTCTTGCATGAAAAATTAACGATATATTCTCTTTATTTAGTGTTAAGTGTTGCTCTGCAAATTTGATAGAGTTTTTTAGAAGTGTTTCACTAATAGAAGGGTAGAAGTCAATGATATTAAAAATTAAAAATTTATAAAGGTGTTTGTCTTTTATGGCTTTTTTTGGCTTAAACCAATCGATAACATTTTGAGTGTTTTTCCATTGGTTTCATTGTAATATACTTCTTAGGTCTGTATTAATTTTAGAAAGAATATCCTTGCTAATTCTTCCAACCTCATTTTTAGCAGGATTTAATAAACGGACAGTCGGATTGTTTTCAAAGTTATCTTTATGGTCTTTTAAGGTGATAAAACAATTGGAAGCTGTATTAATATCAATTTTATCGAAAACTTCATGATTTTTCAAAAGACGTTTACCTTCTATGTTTACTTTATTTATTACATTTGAGTTGAATAATTTGTAATTTGAGGTGATGGCATTTCTTAACAAGTGGTTGTAATCATTTTTAGATAATTTGTAAAGATTAGATGTTTTATCAGCTTGATTATAAGTTTGATTAGATTTTCGAATAATGTTTATATCTTGTTTTAATATATTTTGAAAATTTCTTTGTACCTTTCGAAACTTAATGTGTTTTACAAGATCAATGAGTTCGTTTTCAAAAGCTAGCATTTTTGTAATTTGTTTTGGATGATTAGATGTTTTTAATCCGTAGTTATAATAAAAAATGTTCTTACTATTTGAACTCTTGTTTAAAAAGAAAAACGCTTTCCATCGCATTCTTTTGATTAAAGTTTCAGTTTTATCCAATAATTGCATTTTGAAGTCTTTAATGGATGGTATCGGAATGTTCTTGACTGAATATCCAAAGTTTATTTTTTCCATCACATATGTGACTTGAGTAGAGTGTTCAACGTATGGAGCAAAAATATTGTTGTTTTGATTATTTGATAATAATCAACTCTTTTTCAATTAATCGAAAAAATATATATATACTAAAAAGAAAAAAAAAAGTCTGATTTTTTTGTTTAAATTTAAAGACTTCTCTAAAAAAAAGTAGAAAATAGTTGTATTTTTTTTGTTTATATATCAGCTAAAAAAATGTTCCGCCGAGTTCCACAAATGTATATATATTTTCCAGTTAATTAACATTTCTACTTTAGGAATGTAAAAGGATTACTGCGGTCTCCTGCGGTATTGGAAGTTATTAAAGAAAAACAAATGTTGATGATTTTATAAAAACCTTGTTTTCCACCATTTTGCTAAGAACTTTATTATATCAAAACAAATGAAATTGGCGGGAAACTTAAAGTTAAGTTTCTTGCTTGTAGAACTTGTTCTAATATAGTTTTTAAATCATAAATATTAAATT